GAACAAGGTAACCCTCCACAAGTACTTTTTCTTCCCTGGCTAAAAGAGAAACTTTGTGTCACAGTAAAATAACAAAGGGAGGGGAGTGGCTGATCTTGCAGTCCAGGAGCAGAGGTCCCTGGGACCATCAAGGGAGAAGAGTGGAGTGCGGGACCCTACCCAGAGAAGCAGTGACACCAGAGATGGAGGCACAGATGATGACTTGGAGATGGAGCAGCTGGGGACTCTGGACTCAGGGAGGGAGACGGGCTGTGTGCTGATGGCCGGGGGATAGGTTTGTGGGGTGTACCCTTTAGTTGTTTAAATGGTTGTATATTCCTGAGCGCTTTGGTGTACATCCAAAAAAAAAAATAAAGAGGGAATGGAAGCAAATGCTGTTGAATGATGATACAAAGAGGGGATTGTAATCATTGCAATGAAATGAAATACGATAGAGTGAATGTAAAGCTGATGTGCTGATGTTATCCCAAGTAAACTATCACTCAATTCAAAATAAAAACTTAATAATAATAATAAAAAAAAGCCAAGATCTAGTACAGCATGCATTTCAATGTTTTTAAATGTTCTATACCCAGAACTATCTGAATTGGCCAAACACAACAGTTTAGAAGACTAGAAAACTATTTCCATCAATGAGCAGATTCATTTAATCTTTAAATTGGCCCAGAACAAAAGAAACAATCCAAATGAAACAAATTGATGGCCCTAAAATTACAGTAATTACAAACAGCAGCCAAACTTTAATCTAATTTGAAGCAGAGCAAGCCCAGTATTTTCCATGACTATAAAAAATCTGGTCACTGGAAAAATAATCACTACAAACTCAAGGACATAAAGAGCCGAATGAAGACACTTCGCCAGGGCACACTTCAATATGATGTGGACTGAAGGGAAACAGGAGTGTTTCACATGGTGTCACTTAACTCACAAGGAGACATTATTCTACATATTCATGGAAAGCTTTGCTAATTTTTCATTGATACTGGAACCATGCAGCAGAGGGCCACTGCTCAAGAACACAGGTCCACTCTCAACCCGTCCCAACAGTCCTTGGACCCACTGAAGATTGTATCCTTTTGTATTTATTCCTGACACTGCCGTTAATTTCTTTTATACAAATAGAATTGCTGTTTACCATCTACAGAAAAGTGAGAAATATTATTAAGCTTATTTGATGTTCCGAAAACCCTTAGTGAAGAATTAGAATTATTTTAAACAGAAGTAGTGTCTTGCAGTTTGCACACACTGTATAAAGAAAACAGAACTCCCTCCATCCATTTACCCTGACCTCATTTCACTGATTCTTGAAACCATGAGTCACCACATCTTATGTAGGGTTGGGTCTTTTATCAACAGAAACCATCAAAATTCAAGTAGACATAGCTAAACCTTTGCCCAAAGTTTCTCAATAACTCCTGAAATGAGAGGCTAATGCAGCACTGGCTCCTATTATTCAGGGCATAATTTCCAAAGGCTTGATTGCCCCTGGCACCAGTCCCTGTAACACCCATTTATTTGTTGCCTGTTAAGAAGCCCAACAAGAGAGGATTTCTGGCTGCATCAAATGCACTGTCATTCCTAACTTCCCAACAGTCCCAAACCCCCATTTGCTGTTTCCCAGTGTTCCTTCAGGTGCCATACATAACTGATCTCTGTCGAGTCTTCAGTATTCCTGTACACCCGGAGAGCCAATATTTGTATATCTTTACCTGGGAGAATCAATATTTTACTTGGATAGTAATGCCTCGTAAGTCTTTAATAAGTCTCCCAAATATTTTTCAGAAATTATCCACATTGACTTTTGACCTTTGCAATTTAAGAACAACTCTGAAGCTTGGCAAGTCTAGGGGGCAGTTCTACCCCGGCCTCTAGGGTTGCAATGAGTTGGGGTCGACTCGATGACAATGGGGTTTATTCATCAGTGAGATTTCTCTACAGTAGTTTGCTATTAAAGTAAAGATCATCCTAGTTTTAGAAAATGATCTGGTAAATTTATATATATATATATACACACAGAGGTTACCATAGCCTTCAATTGGATACTGTAGCCAAAGGCCATTCTGTTACTTGTTCAAACCCTGCCACCGTTTTCCCCAAAACTTAACAACCAAAAATACCCTATGCACAACTGTCTGGGCTTAATCAAATAGCTTCTGACTCCCTAAAAAGATCTCAAGGAAATTCCTTTAGAAAATCTTGATCTGATTTTGTTTGTAGATAGTTCTTATTTGCCATCACGACCATTACTGAGGCTCCTAAAAGCAAGTTCTTTCTAAAGCTATCACCGCTCAACAAGCTGAATTTACGGCCCTACTAGAGCCTGTAAACTAGCCTCCAGAAAGTCTGTAACTATTTATATGAATTCTAGAAATTGTTTAGTAATTGCACACGATTTTGGTATACGGTGGTACTAAAGTGGCTTTTGTACATCCTCTAGGCACTGGTGTGGTGCTGTGAGTTAATGCTCCAAACTGCAAAGCTGTTTGAACTACAAGGTCGGTGGTTCAAGCTCACCAGTCACTCCTTGGAAACCCTATACAGGGTCGCTATGGATCGAAACTGACTCGACGGCACTTAGCAACAACAACAGACACTCTAGGGGAGTCCTGGTGTGATGCTATGGGTTAATGCGCTGGACTGCAAGGTCATTTGAACCACAAGGTCGGCAGTTCCAGCTCACTAGCCACTCCTTGGAAAGCCTATGCAGGGTCACTATGAATCAGAACCAACTTGACGACAATTAACAACAAGAACAAAGCACTGTGCGATAGGCCCTGGCT